TGGTGGCGGGACCGCGGCCTGGGCGCAGCGCTGCGGTGCCGGGAGCGCGCCCAGCTGGCACGCCGGAGGCAAAAGCCTCAGCCAGGCCTGCCTCATGCCGGCTCGGGAGGCCCTATCCTTTTAACCTAGCCTGGCTGCGTTCCCGTTCAGCTGAGGAGTCGGCAATACGGCAAACGGAGAGGTGCTTTCCAGAAAGGTGTCCTTAATGAAAATGTGATGAGAAAGAAAATGATACAGCAGCAAAACTATCGCTGCGTAGAATCTGTTTCACAATCTGGGAAACGTGGGTTTCCGATTGTCCCAAAGAGCGGGGATTTTGACACACTGTCCAGCAAATTATGTGGTTTCTCCTCTAAGGCTACGCCAACTATCTACGCAATTTAAATAATATGCATGTATGCTTTCACACATGCATGAATGTCAAATATCTGTTGTTTGACAGCTAATTTACAGGAAATACAGATGCTAAAGGCAAGCAGATGTTACATAAAAGTTACATTGTTACGTAATTGAGTTATTGGTGTTTACATCTATAGCTTTTTATTAAAATATTATATGTATTGGTATGGAAGTGCAGGTTTGAAAAACACTATGAAAATTAAGTGTATGGTAGTGTTATTTAATTCAAAGAGATACTGTTTCGGGAAATGGAGGCAGACTCTATTTGTCTAGTGTTCTAAAAAAGGCTACTTTTGTGTGTTGTCTTCCAGTGAAAGCAATTCAGTCATCCTGCCAGTGCAGGTGAACTTGGGGAACAGAGAAAGAAAGGGAGGTAGTCTGTAAAGAGGAACCTACAGAAACTGAAAACCAAAGCATCTAAGCTTCTTCCACTATCGTTTCTTTTAAGATCAACTAAACTATGATTAATTTCTTAAAATACTATTAATATTTAAACTTTCAAAATTAAAGATTCTTCTTGTATTTCAATCATCCTCCTCCTCCTCCTCATCCTCCTCCTCTTCCTCTTCTTCCTCTTCCTCAGTTGCAGCTAAGGCTTCTTCCTGTGCAGCCTTGAGAGCTTGTTCCTCTTCCACAGTAGGGTCATTTGTCTCAGTGATTTCTGGCCCACTAGGGTATTCTGTTTGCACTGGTGGAGGCAGTGAGGGTGTATGGTTTTCTGGACTGTATTTGTGACCCCAGCCTAAGTAGATATTATCAAATCTCCTGAGAAAGAAAAGCAAAAGATCACACAATCTCCCCAAGAAAAATAGCAGTGGAAATATTCTCAGAGTTCCTCAATCTGCTGAGCGAAAAACCTTTATGGTTCCGGTTTCCTTTAACTGTTGTGTTTGAAAGATGGTATCTTTTTTAACTAATGTAAGGGTTGATGAATATATCTTCTACTTAAAATCTCCAAATACTAAATTTATGAATGCTAAGCTCTGGCACTATATTATATTGAAGTATGGCTCCAACTTCACATTATTAATATGGAGACATTTCTGATATGAAATCCAGTGGCCATTAAAAAGCACATAGTGACTGTACCATCTAATGTAAATTAGAACCACAGAATGTAGCTAAGCATCACAGACTTAGGAATATGGATTTTAAATCAGGGATTGTGGCCAAGTACTGACTGGTCATTTACGTTCTATCGACTTAGTTTATACTAGCATTGCCAACGATTCTTCATTTTCTGTCTTAAACATGTATTCACTGTTGCTGTGCACACGTAAGTGGCCTTCTCCATCAATCTCAGGAGTAGTTACATTTCAGTCAATGAATTAACAATAAACAAACTTTGACTCTATTAGACAGGTATCTGTATTTAGCACATACAGTCTGTGTAACCATGTTAACTGGCTGCTTACCTGCCAGATGCAAAGGCATAGGCTCCAGGCCATCGATTAGACTGAAGGATTGCAACAGCATATTGAGGGACCAGGTTTGTAGAATACTGAGCTGTCCAAGCAGGGACATTTTGAATTCCTGCAATCAGCCAAACACACGCTATATGAAGAAACTGACTTAATGAGCAGCTACAAATTATTTAAGACTTAACTACAAGACTTGCTCAGAATTCAAGGAACAGTTATATTAAGATGCATGTTTGAAGAGACAAAATTCAGAAACAATAAATGTAGACATTGTATTCTAACAGGTGATTTGGATGTACGAGTCAGTATCACAGGAATGTTGTACAGCCATGTGAAAAGAGGCTCATGCTTCTGAAATTCAGTAGTACTCACCGCTTTTTTTTTTTTTTTTTTTTGGTCAAGGACTACTGATCACCTATGCCTGTATGTTATGGAAACATTTTGATCCTAGATTTCTGAGGAGCAGAGTCTCATGCACGTATAACAGCCAAATTATTTATTTATTTAAATGATGGTACAACAAAGTAACAGCTCGAGCTGGCTGCCTCCAGGGAGGGACCCTGAACAAAGAAATTCTGGGGTAATTATACCCTTTATAGTTTTATTTCCCTGCCTGCCAGTGAAGGTATCCTCCAATCTTTTTTGCTGAGTTGGTGGTCTCTCTCCTTTTGATTGGTGTCTCTCTCCCTCTGATTGGTGTCTGTCTCCTTCTGACAGGTCCTGGCCTACATCCCAGGCTGGTTGCCATGTCCTTGTTTCCCACAGTCCCTTATCTTCTTGAAGGCCAGCCACAACCCAGGTGCATCCCCTCTTGTCTCCTGTATTCTGCTTTGTATCCTCATTCGCTAGTTTTGTATCTTTATTAATTAGTTTTAATTGGTTATGCAGTTACATCATCGGTAATGTCACATTGTCAGCAATGTTTCTTGAGTTCATTGACAGTTCAGCCTTGAGGCCTGCAGGCTTCGTCTAATTTAGGCACTTATGCTAAGTAAGAGTCAGACTTATGCTAAGCTGAAGCTAGGTCAGCTACAATTTCCTTCTCTAACAGGACTGAAGCTAAATCAGTTACGATTTCCTTCTCTAACAATAAGTTATATAAATATTTCACCCTAATCTAAGAACAGAGAGTAGGAAATTAATTTAATATTGATGTCATCTAATATCTAAGTTCCCATATTCCCATGATTTGCTGTGGTAATATGCTACGGGATCTAAATTCTTATGTATATATGTAAACGTATGTGTACATACACATTGATGTATTTATTTACACATGCACATACAAGTTTTTGTCTGAAAAAGATAATGGAAGAATAGCTGCATGTAACTCACGTAGTGAGCTGTCCTGAACTTGCAGTAGCATGATAACTCTTGAGGGTTTTTTTTTTCATTTATCCTCAGAGAAACCGTTAACTAGTAGACCTATCAATTTCTGTTTTATTGTCAACACTGTTAACCATTTCACTTTTGATTGATTCTGTGAAAGAATGTGCTTACCCTACAACACCAAACTCATTGTTCCATTAAGTATCTGAGGCCTATAACGTCAAATGTTCACTACCCAAATGCCAACATTCCCAGCGGCTATCAAACACTTAATAGTCCCTGAAGAGTACCTTCATCTTCAGAGAGTGGAGTGAGAAGAGGAGGTCCTATTTCTTGCTGTACTTCATCTGTCTCCTCTGCTTTCTCCTCCTCTTCACCTTCTTCTTCTTCCTCTGATTTTTGAAAAGGATTATGCCAAACACAGCGACCCTGAAATTGATATGAAAGCATAATAAATATATCTAACAATCACTGAAAGAATGCAAGCCAGTTAAAACAATTGGTTCAGACACATGCAGACATAACTGAAGGGGAAAAACAGAAAAGAAATAAAAATATATGCCATAATTGGTATATTGTTGAGAGAATGTTGTATCCTCTTGGCAGAGTGTTCCCCAGCTGCTTCATTTATCCCTCATCCCTACTTACTATTTCAGAATAACCCCGTACCTCTGTCATCAGCTTTTTGTCATTTTGTAGATTTCATTCTTTTAAACACAATTCATGCTGGTGATAGATGCTAGACTTCAGTGAAAAGACCAAAATCCTGTAATTATTAATTGGGATTATGTCTTTAGACATGCCCTTATTTCAACACTCATCTTGTGAAGAGATGATAATTTGTTGCTAGCCTTTATCAGTCACAAACATGCTGGCAATTCTGCTGCTACTCTCCATCTCTTCCTTGTCAAGGACAGAGTGTGAGTATGCACAGAAGATGCACAGAACATCGTGTTCCTGCACACCTGGGCCCAAATCCAAACAGGTTCTTGAAAGGTGCGCTCAACATTCTTAGTTATCCATTCTCCCTATGCAGACCTGTACTCTGTTTCTCAGTTCAACCCTTACAGAACGGAGAAAATACAAGACAGACAGCTACATCACGTGTTATTATGCCAGAACAGCCTTACGTTTGGGCTGAAGGGGCTGCCTTCAAAGGGTAGGAAGTTAGTTCAGTCCTTGTCAGTTCAGTTCATATCCTTGCTGGGTACGGTTATTGCCAACTGAGAAGCTAACACTTACAGAATCTGTGCCTCCTTTTAAAGTCTGCTTTGTTGTTTAGCTACCAGTTAGAGGAACATTACAGAAAGTTTTTAAGATTCTAACTGAATACAGATTTCATTTTTTTACCGCTATTGCTTTGCTGATAACAATTTCATATCGTACTTCCTGCTACTTGCTGATATTTTGCACTCTTTTTCGAGTTGGTAGACTAGCCAGCAAGTCATCTAACAGGGATGATCAAACTACTAATACCTCTTTCCAGCGCTTGCTTGACATCAAAAAGGTTTTATGCTACTGTTTTATTTTATGTTTTGTTTTCAATCTTTTTCATTTTCATGTTTCACAGTAGAAAGTAAGCAACAAAAATTAAACCACAAGAAAGCACTAAACAATTTCCATTTAACATACAATCATAAGCTATCTGCATTTTAGCATCCTATCCAAGAAAACAGAATTAAAAACATTTTTGTCAAGTGAGGACTTCACAAGATAAAACCTAACATAGAAGATGACCAGAAATAATTGGTATCGATCAATGCCTAACCCCATGCAGAAACCTAGAAGGTTCCTAACAATATACATATTTATATATATAAATGTATATTTTATATATTCTGCAAGACATGTGAATATATTTGATATATTTATATATAACATAGTATATGTGATAGTTTTCTTTTTCAGCCTAATACTATGTCTGTGCAGGTGAGGAGTTTCATTTACATGCTGAACTACTACTGGTACTACGGTGTAAATGGTATCCGAGATCAACGTGAGCTACGCAAGAATGTACCTGCTTCAGAATATTCTGTGTTTGGTGTACCCACATGGAGAGAGAATCCACCATTTCAACCACAGAAAGAGGCTGAAAATCGGGGTTTTCTTCATATGTATCTCTTCCTCCTCCCCCTTCCTCCTCTTCATCTCCTTCCTCCTCTCTGAACTGTTAAAATCCAAT